CCCAACTGCCCCCCCCCTTGCCGGCCTGGTCGCCCCACGCAGCCTGCTGTTCAGTCATTTGGTCGTCCCTCACTAACCTCCCTGACGACCTGGTCGTAGGCAGCCATATTGTGAGGGTGTGATGGTCAATTTGCATATTACCTCTTCATTATAAAGGATACTTTATAGGGTTTTTGAGGAAAATGAATAAGATAATGCTTATACACTGAGACGACGTTTTAGAATTCTTATTTTTTTTTAATATATTTTTATTGATTTCAGAGAGGAAGGAAGAGGGAGAGAGAGATAGAAACATCCATGATCAGAGAGAATCATAGATTGGCTGCCTCCTGCAAGTCCCCCACTGGGGATCGAGCCCACAACCCAGGCATGTGCCCTTGACCGGAATCGAACCTGGGACCCTTCAGTTCGCAGGCCGACGCTCTATCCACTGAGCAAAACCAGCTAGGGCCGTTAAGGTGTCATCATGTTAATTTTTGTTCAGTCAAAACACTCACCCTACATTTACCAAAGTACTGTGTATCAACTTTGTGTCAGAACAGTACTCTGATGAATACCAACGTAAGAAATGAATGGTGATTAGTTTTCATTATTTACCTTCCATTAGTGGAATTACAACAGGGGCAGAGGAGTAGGCAGGAGATTATTTTATAGTACCAGTCAACCAGACTTCTCTACCAGTGTATTTGTTTGACCCTAGTAGGAAAAGGAACAGGGAGAGGTTGCTGGTAAACTGTTTCTTTCATTTTTCTTCTTTCCCTTTCTCTCCTACCTTCTTCTCAGAGTTTAGCATCACCAACTTCATCAATCCCCTAGTCTCATAACTGTATCCTGATTTACCTAGGTAATTTTTCCCATTCCTACTCCCTACTACCCATCTCCCCTTCACTTCCATCAAATCTCATTCTATCTTTTTTTTCAGATTGCTTTGTGTTCAGCTGTGACTCATTTGATGACTTGGACCCCAAGTCTCTACATTCTTAGACTATTACTCAAGTAAAAGCCAATCTAAATCCTGACCAACTGTCTCCCTGCCTTGTGTGGGCTCCTTTCACACCAGGAGTTTTAGTTTTTTATTATTGCTAAGCATTAGATTAGGTAAACTTTCAGGCTTGTCCACAGTGCTGTCTGTAGTCCCTTTCATCTCCTTTACAATTTATACCTAATGACCATCTATATATACAAAAGCCTAAGCTACCGAACGACCAGTCGACCAGTCACTATGACGCACACTGATGACCAGGGGACAGACGCTTAATGCACAGGATCAGGCTCCCTCCTTTCTGGATTGGGCCTGCAGGGATTGGGCTCCCTCCTGTCTGGATCGGGCCTGTGGGGATCGGGCTCCCTCCTGTCTGGATCAGGCCTGCGGGGATTGGGCTCCCTTCTGTCTGAATTGGGCCTGCGGAGATTGGGCCGAAACCAGCTATCCAACATCCCCCAGGGGTCCCGGATTGTGAGAGGGCGCAGGCCAGGCCAAGGGACCCCACTGGTGCACAAATCCATGCACCAGGCCTTTAGTAGAGTATAATAATAGTGATACTTGTTATTAGCACTAGATTAATAGAATACATTACAGTAGATTTGTTAATATGTAAGCTTTGTTACATGTATGTATAATTATTTTGCAACTTGAAATTTGAAGCTGGACCACTTAACGATAATTTAATAACTTACTGACTGTATCAAAGACTGAAAAACCTATAGAAAAGGTAGAATTTAAGTAAACTTTAAAGGAGGGGTATGCTTTTTTTATAAGTAGGGAGGAAAGGCAAGGGACTGACATGAGCAGAGGCTTAAAGCAAAGGGTGCAGATTTGGACCTTTGTGAGTAGATCACTTTTTACTTTTTCATAGGTTTGATGGAGTAGGAATAAAACTAGGTGATTTGGAATCAAACTTTGAAAAGTTTTAATGTTTCATTAAGATTTTTGATTTAGTAAGCCTTTCGTATGTCCTGTGAATTAACTTGGCTTTTCTTAATATATACACATACAAGTTAGTTCTGAGATTCCCTGATAGATTCACATGTTTAATGCAACCCCAAACGTGAAGCCTACTTTATATAAGTTAATGGCTTCTGCCAAGTCTTTCTTCCTCAAGTGGTTATGCCTTAAAAAGAGTGTTTGATCCTCCATTTTTATCCTGATGCTTTAGTTCTTTCTGCTTGTTGTCCATTCTTAGCTGTTCCTGATCAGTCTTTCCTCCAATTCTTCCTTCTTAATATCCAGGTTCCAAGTAAGCAATACAGTGAGTGTCTGCTAATCACAAGAGTTGTAAATTCTTATTGAAAGTTTTTTTTGTATCTCCTTCACTTTTAAAAGGTTGTTGGATATGTATTTTGTTTACAAAATAGTTATTAATTTTCTTGTTTCTCTTCCTTTGCAGACCTAAAGGATCAAGACATAATGGGAGCATTTTTAGACAAGCCAAAGATGGAAAAACATAATGCCCAGGGGCAGGGTAATGGGTTGCGATATGGGCTAAGCAGCATGCAAGGCTGGCGAGTTGAAATGGAGGATGCACATACAGCTGTGATTGGTTTGCCAAGCGGACTTGAAACATGGTCATTCTTTGCTGTGTATGATGGGCATGCTGGTTCTCAGGTTGCCAAATACTGCTGTGAGCATTTGTTAGATCACATCACCAATAACCAGGATTTTAAAGGGTCTGCAGGAGCACCTTCTGTTGAAAATGTAAAGAATGGAATCAGAACAGGTTTTCTGGAGATTGATGAACACATGAGAGTTATGTCAGAGAAGAAACATGGTGCAGATAGAAGTGGGTCAACAGCTGTGGGTGTCTTAATTTCTCCTCACCATACTTACTTCATTAACTGTGGAGACTCGAGAGGTTTACTTTGTAGGAACAGAAAAGTTTATTTCTTCACACAAGATCACAAACCAAATAATCCGCTGGAAAAAGAACGGATTCAGAATGCAGGTGGCTCTGTAATGATTCAGCGTGTGAATGGCTCTCTGGCTGTATCGAGGGCACTTGGGGACTTTGATTACAAATGTGTCCATGGAAAAGGTCCTACAGAGCAGCTTGTCTCACCAGAGCCTGAAGTCCATGATATTGAAAGATCTGAAGAAGATGATCAGTTCATTATCCTTGCATGTGATGGTATTTGGGATGTTATGGGAAATGAAGAGCTCTGTGATTTTGTAAGATCCAGACTTGAAGTCACTGATGACCTTGAGAAAGTTTGCAATGAAGTAGTCGACACGTGTTTGTATAAGGTAGCTAGACTTTTTTTTTTTTTAAGATAAAATGATTTTATGCCATCTTAATTACTACTCTAGTATTTAATCATCTTAGAACCTGGTAGTTCTCAGAAATAAGATTTTGCCATAATTACAGGATACTCTTCACTATGAAACTATAGGAACACTTTTTATAAATAAACAACCCTGTTACCAAATATACAAGTTATAATCTGAATGTTTAGTCTTTTAGTAACCATGACTACTTGAGCTTTTTAATATTGTATAACATTGTCAAAGATAAAATGATTGTATAAAAAATGCATGTTTTAAAAAGGAGGATAGCAAAAGGTTAGGCCTCAGTATCTGTAAATGAAAAGTATTTTAGAATTTTAATGTTTTATTTTTACCTTGGGATATCTCAGTATATTTATTGCTTTGAGACTATAGTCTAATGAATCTGTAGCATCAACAAAGAGAACTGAGCTATCAGTTGGTGTGATGTAATAGAAATAGTCTTGGACATAGAGTCAGAAGAAATTGGTATGAGAATGTGTATGACTTTGGGTAAGCTGTTTATCTAGAAAATCAGTTTCTTTAATTGAAAAAAAGGGTAAGGAATATTAATACACTTTCTCATGGGGTTGTTGGCATGATCAAATGGGTTCATGTGTGTAGATGACCCAGCTCAACACCTTTATTTTACAGAGGAAGCTGAAGCCAGAGAAGGCTCTGTGACTTAGGCATACACACCTAAAATCAAGGCTTACTTACTTCTGTTACTTTTGTACTCTAGGGTACTGAACAAAGTATCAACCTCTCAGCTTTTGAATGAAAATAATAATATCTAACTTGGGATTATTAAGTAACTAAATTAATGAACTAATGTACACATATGAAGTGCTGAGTTTACCAAATAGTGTGTACTGAGTACATGCTGTTCCCTATCTTAGAGAAGTTAAAAATGACTTCTAGAGGGTTATACAATTTACTTCTATGGTAGCACTAAGGCTAGAATCTAAGACTTGACTTAGGTTTAGTGTTCTTTCTACCACACTGTTCTCTCTTGTCAGTAATGCTCCTTGACTAATTCTTTGATTGTTTTAAGCAAATATTGATTATGTACAACTCTTCTGAGGCTATATGTATTTGATTTTCTTTTAACATACAGAAATAGAAAGTCAACATAATACTCTTTATAGTTTTAAATTTTTTAATTTTAATTTTTTGTTTTTCTCACCTGAGGATATTTTTTCCATTGCTTTTCAAAGAAAGTAGGGGGTGGAGTGACAGAGAAACATTGATGTGAGAGAGGATGTGAGAGAGGCACGTTGACTGGTTGCCTCCCGCACGCACTCTGGTCAGGGACGGGGACTGAATCCAAAGCTGAGGTACGTGTTCTTGACTGGGAATCAAACTCATGAGCCTTTGGTGTGCACGCCACCATTCTAACCATGGAACACATGTGCCAGGGCAATACTCTAGTTTTATATGCACACTGCCAGCTCTACTTAAACTTAATTAAAATCTGATTGTACTTAGAGATCAGTTTTTTTGTATCATCCAACATGAATCAAGTTTATGTAACATTCAGCACTTAAGTTAAAAATTCAATAGAGCCACAACTTAGTAGTGTACACTATTAATTTTTTAATTTGAGGAGAATCAAACAATGATGCATGTGTTCTTTGTCCCTTTTAGTATGCATAAAAATAGCATCTATTTGTTGGGTTTATTCTGTAGCACTTGAGAATTAAATGCTTTTTTGCTAAATTAAAAGCTGTTTTCTTAAGAGAATTGTCAGCTTCAGATATTAGTAAATATGGTTCAGATTCCACTTTTTCTCTTCTGCATTCTACTCTATTTTAAAAATTATTCAGCCCTGGCCATTGTAGCTTAGTTGCTTGGACATCATCTCATGCACCAAGGGTTGCTGGTTTGATTCCTGGTCAGGGCACATGCTCAGGTTGTGGGATCAATCCTGGGTAGGGGGCATACAGGAGGCAGCTGATTGATGTTGTGCTCTCATGTTGATGTTTCTCTCTATTCCCTTCCTCTCTCTTTAAAAATAAGCTATTATAAAAAACTAGAGGCCCAATGCACGAATTCTTGCACAGGTGGGGTCCGGCTGGCCTGCCCTGATCAGGGTCAATCAGGCCAGGCCGGCCCAGAGGAAGGGTTGCAGGGCAGTTGGCCGGCTAACTCCACCCCCTGGTCGAACTCCTGGTTGAACTCCTGGTCGAGGGGACAATTTACATATTAGCCTTTAATTATATAGGATTATTCAATACCTTATCATTTGCCACACTTAAATTCCCCAAGATCTTTTATTATTAAATCTTTGTATTGTTTGCTTAAACTAATGATACAAGGTCGGTTTTCCCATATAGTGAGATTAAATATTTAAAATGTAAAAAGTTAATTCCAATTACTAATAGGAAGGGGAAGTGTGGGCACTCCACATTGATTCAAGTATTTTAATTATAGTATTTTGAATACCTAGGTGTTTTTAAAAATGAATGTGCTTTCAAAAAGCCAATTTTTTTGAAGTTTGAAAGTTAAAAGCTGGTTTATAAACTTGATATATGTAATTTTGCTTCTAATTGATTTATTTTATATAAATCTAAAGTAAATTAGCCCCACAATTCCTTATAATTTATTCTAAATGGAAGTTTGTCAAGTATACATGTAACTACAGGTCATATAGTTTAAAAAACACCACTGGAATTTTCTATTTTCTTGAATTAAATGAATGTCTGTGTATATGTGTACTTGTCTTTAGATATCATATCACTTTAAGTTAAGTAGGCCACCAACAAATGTTCAGAAATATTTTTGTTTTATAGAATTTTAAAAAATTGTTGCAGTAGAATTTAACTTGTAGTGTTTCAGTCCTGTTTTTTTATAGTGTTGGTTATACTGTGTACTATATGTACAATATGTGTTAGGAGGGGTGTACCTTCCACATATTCATAAATTTTTTTAGAAAATTATAGAAAATATATTTTCTATAATTTTTCTTTAGAAAATTATAGAAAATATATAGAAAAAACTATATATTTTCACTGAAACAATTATATTTATCATTGGCATGGCTGTAAAGGTTCTCAAGGCTTCCAAGAGCAAAAAGAAAACCAAAATATTTTCTCAAATTTTTTTCTTCCCAGGGAAGTCGAGACAACATGAGTGTGATATTGATCTGTTTCCCAAATGCACCCAAAGTATTGCCAGAAGCAGTGAAGAAGGAGGCAGAGTTGGACAAGTACCTGGAAAGCAGAGTAGAAGGTGGATCATTTAACAAAAAATAAGTTTCTTTATTAAAGAAAACCTCAACACAATCAAACTTTAACATTTTAGCTTTTATATCTTTACATGCCTTTGACATCTAGTGTTTAGTGTACAGAAGAGGGAAAGAGCATTTCTGTAGTAGCTGTTTAGATGTTTGTGATTGTTTTTATCACAGTTAGCAGTAGAAATAACAACTGGTGTGGTCCTGTACATTCTCTTAAGGATACTTTTGTTTTAAAAGGCTCAAGTGTTTGTATGCTTTAAAATTCTTGATGAATTCACTGGTTTGAGTGATTTTATGCCAGGAAAGTAATTTGTGGTTTATTTATTTATAAACACATTATTTATGATGGTGATAATTTGATTACCATCTTTGTAAAGCCGTGTATATGAATTTGAGATCTTTAAGAGTTTTGTTTTTTTATTTTTGTTTTTTAATAACTTGAAGATCACAGCATGGTTGTTAACAACTTCCATGTGCCACCACTTTAAAATTTTTATTTTAAACTCTTTTAAGACTTTCTTGCCAAAGTCATAAACTGCCACACCTGGACAACATAGACCTGAATAGAAGACATACTAGGTTTCTACCTAGCAGAAATATAAATGCTGAATAAAATCAAGAAATAAGTTTGGAATTCTAGGAGTATATTTGTCAGAATTCTGCAAATTATTTTGAGATGATTAGAAAGATGTTTGTAACTCTCGAATGTAATGCCTTTAGATCCTTGAAAAAAATTAAATGATCTTTAATGCAATTACTATTTGATATAAATATTAAATCTCCTCAGAGAATTCCAGTTTACTGCATATATGCCATAAGCATGTAAATTATGCAGTTTCTTTAAGCGGAAAAACTTGGCATGCCTATAATAGCATTAAAATGCATTTTGGGCTCCTAATGTCATTAATTTGCACGTTAAAGACCTCTAATAGCATGTAAGCATTGACCTACACACTATTATATCCTGCTGTGCCTGCATTATTAAAATCAATCTGCACTTTAATTTTGTTTTCTCCCTTTTTACTGTTTGATATCAGTTATAATCAGTCTGATATTAAAATCATGATTGGTTTTGATTTGCAGTACTATCTATAGCTGCTGTTTTTATAGTTCTCCACTTGATAGTGATATATTAGTACTGTGTGTATGTTACTGTTTAATATTTCATTCATTGGACATACTATTCAATGAGTTTGTTTCCTCACGAAGGGTCATAGAATTTTTATATTTTAAATGAATAATTTAAATGTAAGTTATTTATATATAATACAGTAAAATAAAATATTTAGTGATACCAAGTCATATCACATTGGTTTAAACTGCTGGTTAGTGAAAAAGTATGAAGCCATAAGAAAAATATGTATTGGGATAAGTTGATATTTAATTTATTGGCACTTTAAAGTAACTTGGGCATATATGTTTTCTTATCGATTTAAAGAAACAATAAGTAGTTTCATTTACTATGAAATGGGATCAAATTTTAGAAATAAATTGCTACTTTTCAATGTGCACTCTTAATTTTGATGCAATTCTAAATAATTGCTGTAGATATATAATTTTGTGGTACACTATTGAGTTTTACATTGCTTATTATTGAACAAGAATTGCCACCTGAACAGTTTACATTAATTCTCAATGTTTTTGATATGTTGTAGTTTTATTACACTTATACCATTCAGTTGGAGATTAAAGAATATGATATTCTTTACTGAGATTTGATGAGACTACAACTAGAGAATAAATATTACATTAATTAAAACTATATTTAAAAAACAGAAAGGATATAACTATTTGTATTATAAAAATTATATCTTAAAAAGTGAAAAGTACTGCACTTAGCTTCTAAAATAGACATCGAATACCTTTTTTTAAAAATTTATTTAAATACATGCCTTCAGTAAATTGCTGTGACTTACTAAACCTCATTTTATTTGTTTTGAATACTTTTGGCTTCTCTGTCCACATCACAGAAAAGAACAGAGACTTTTCAGCTCTCCTGCTATTATCTGTGCCCATCTAAAACTTGACTCTCTTGGGTTGTGAAAAGATTGAGCTCATAATTTAAACCATATCACGTAAGATTGTGGTCCTACTAAGTCAATTTAAGATTATACTTGTATGTACATATTTTTTAAATCTTTGCTACTGAGTGCCCAAGCTTTAAAGTTGCTAATTTGGAGATAACTGCTAGAATCTCTCAGACTTAGTGGATAGAAGAGCAGAATGTGTTTATATATGAGTATGTGAAACACCTATCTTCTATACATAAGTGTTGTTCAATAAAAGGCATTTAGTCTTTTTACAATTCTAATTAAAATGTATAGTCCAAGAACAATTAAGGAATACTTATTAAAGTTCTTTCTTTTCATTTTTTTTTAAAGCAGAAAGAAACAAGGCTAGTGTAGTATTAATGGTCAGATAATTTACATGTATTATCCCCTGTGGAATAGGAGATATTAACAGTTTTTAAAGTCTTACATTATTTTTTTAAGAATTTGTCTTCCTGTAATTTTCTTCACAATTAAAATATCCTAATTTATATTTTAACAAAGGAGATGTAAGATAACATCAAGTATAGACGACTCAAGGTAATGATTTTTTTAGACCTGAAACCATCATTGATTGAATTTATCATCAGTGTTCATTTCTATTATGTCTAGTTACCTACCCAGTAATTGTATTGGCTTAGCAGAGACTGTATGTTAAGTGTAATAACAGCTTTAGATTGTGAAATTGTGCAGTTTAGGTAAACATCAAATCCCTTTATTTTTGTACAGCAGATTTCCAGCATTAGAACCATGTAGAATAAATATACTAGATGTTAAAGATTACACAATAAAGGAACTTGGCAAACCAAATCTGAGATCCTTGCTTTTTGTTCAGATTTAAGACTGTTCTTTTTTAAAGGCAAAATATAATAGATGGTAAAATTTGGCCTTAATTCCAAAAGGATAGTTTGAGCCATTTAAAGAAACATGGGTAGTATTGTCTGTCTTTTAATAGGTGGCTTTACGGATGAATTAATATTTTGAGATTCGATCAAAGAATGAAAGATCTTTATATGCATTGTTATTTTAAAGGTATTTACAAATTGAGAACTAGAATGATAATTTTCTTGCCCCAGTGGTGACAAAGAAAATATCTTAGTATAATAAACATTACTAAAGCAAAAAATTAAACAAACTTGAACATATAACTTACAGAAATACCTTTGGCATGATCTTGCATTTAGAATTAAATACTCTAAAACTTCAAGTAAAGACTTATACTTAAAGTGATTAGTTTGAGAGTTCTTTAAGTTGCGTGTACATAATTGTTGGTATTCTGTGGTATGAATGCACCTGCATGGCAACACTGCAGATCATATCACTATACACATTTAATAACTGAATTATTGATTTCAAATACAGTTGTATGATTTATCAGTTTTTTTCTTTTTAAAAATTTTGTCATGAAATTTAGACTTTTACATTCTATAGGCTTTGTTCAAATAATCAACTAAGGAAGGAAAAGGTATTATGTATCTCTGTATTGCTTAAAGATACTTTAGACAAAAATTAAATAGAATGATGTGTTAGTACATAACCTAATCTGCACATGCTATTTAGGAATCATTTTGAAATATAAAATTATATGTAAAAGTAATTTGCATTAATATATAATCAGTAAATTCCTCTGTACTTAAACGTTAATTTTTTTTCAAATCTTGAAATTGTTTATGTTTTTTTAAAATCTGTGTATTTTCAGGGCAAAGTTCAGGAAATATATTTCTAGTCTAAAGAGAGGAGCTGATTTCAGAAGTAACTAGTTCGCATCTTAAGAAGAATACTCATTTGTACACACGTATTTCTGATTATACAATACATTGATTTTAACATGAAATTTTGTTTTCACATTTTTGTCTTGTTTATTTTCACTTTGCAATTAATTATGGAAAATATCTTTTGTGTCATTTTGTACATCCCTTTGTCACAAATGTTCAAAGGTCAACTTGATTTTTTTTCCCCTACACCAGTTTAGAAAATCTCAGATATGGTAAATGCCATCTTTAAAAACCTAAGTTATCTTTGTTTCAGTTTTTTTAAAATTAAATTTGGATAACACTTACAAAAAAAGTACTTCTGATTCCCAGAAATCATAAAGAAGCAGGGGGAAGGCGTCCCTGACTTAGTCCATGTGATGCGCACATTAGCAAGTGAGAACATCCCCAGCCTCCCACCAGGAGGTGAATTGGCAAGCAAGTAAGTTACATTCTGCATACTCTTATGTTTGATCTCAGTACATGAAAATGTTATGTGTTTGCTGATTAAATGTATATTTACTAGTACATAATTTCTAAAGTGATGCAATATCTGTATCCTCAGAACATTTTATTTGTGGTTCAGTGTTTTCCAGTATTAATGATATATGATTCTTGTTTAGAATAGGTATCAGAATGTTATTGTTTTTAACTAATTACACTGAAAGCTGTCCTTAGTGGAGGTTTGGATTTCCTTATATAGCATAACTGAGATAATATAGTGAAAGAATTTTTTAAATTAAATTCTATAGCACTACAAAATTCTAAGTGTCATTATTATTCCTATTGTTATATTTGATCATGTCAAGCCCTGGATAATTTACCCCAGAGATTAGCATCTTTTTCCTCCTCCATCGGATCCATTTTTTTACATCTGACTTTCCCAGTGTTTTTAGTTGTTGATTGCTGGTTGGTTGGGTTTTGGTGTAAGGCAGGGGTGGGCAAACTTTTTGACTCAGGGCCACAATGGGTTCTTAAACTGGACCGGAGGGCCGGAACAAAAGCATGGATGGAGTGTTTGTGTGAACTAATATAAATTCAAAGTAAACATCATTACATAAAAGGGTACGGTCTTTTTTTTTTTTTTTTAGTTTTATTCATTTCAAAGGGGCCGGATCCGGCCCGCGGGCCGTAGTTTGCCCACGGCTGGTGTAAGGTTACATTTCTTGCCTTTTTCTCTTTGCACTTTATCTCACAGAGCTGGACTTACTATGTTAAATATTAAGCTTACATCTTTATAAACTAAAGTGGAGACTTTAAGGCATTTTATAATTTAAGGTTTTAAACATTTTTACCTCAGGTATCTATATAATTGACCTATAAGGATATATTGATTAATTTCATTGATTCTCCACTGTATTCTGTAAGTGTAGCCATATTTTTTTATCATCCTTTCACATTTAGTCATTATAAAACTTCCTGTTTGTAGCTTTTGTTTTTAGGAAACGTTTTTTCCCATATGACCTTCTGTGAAATGAATGTCTATAAAATTTTCAAATTGATTTTGGAAGTAGGGAAGCTAAAATACCACTATAGACTTTTTTTTTATGAAATATTATTCAAAAACGAATTCCTAGACTTGTCAGGGAAATGTCATACTTTACATTTCAGTTTGTTTTTTTTAATCCTCACCCAAAGATATGTTTTTATTGATTTTTTTTTTTTTAAGAGAGAGATACAAACATCCATGTTAGAGAGAATCATCAATCGGCTGCCTCATGCATGTCCCCCCACTGGGACTTGAGCCCACAGTCCGGGCATGTGCCCTGATAGGGAATCAAACCGTGACCTCCTGGTTCATGGGTTGATACACAACCACTGAGCCACACAGGCCGGGTACACTTCAGTTTTAATAAAACTGTTTTAAAGGGGCATTACAAAAAGCACAAACTGAAATGTAAAATATATGTAAATTACTTTACTACCACAGAGGTTGAAGTTAACTTCTAGTTCAAAACAGTCAACTTTTAACCAGAATATATTAGTATGTCTTAAGAACTGCTTCATCATTGCCAACTTAAAACCACTTAAACAGTTCCAATAGAAATGGATCATAGTGGCTGATTTTTTTTTTCATTACTTTTAGTCTTCTGTTAATTAAGTTGGTGGCATATTACATTTTAGAGTAAATTTACCTCTACTTAACTTTGGGCCTCAAGTATCTTAAAGTGAGGCTCACTTATTGACAGCTAGAAATAGAACTAAAATAATTTCCAAGTATAAAATTATCTTTGACATTTTAATCAACACCTGGCTGTGAGTTATTAAACAACTTTATGCTCTGAAGAAAAATTAACTTTCTGCATTTTTTAAAATTTAGGCGGAATATAATTGAAGCCGTTTACAATAGACTGAATCCTTACAAAAATGATGACACTGTAAGTAGCATTTTAGTTCCCTCTGCTTTCCCTTCCCCTCCACTCTAAATGCATATCCTTCCTACCTGTTTTTGCAGAGTTGTTCACTGCACCCATTCTTTTACACACACCCCTGATTGATTGCTCTGAACTCTGCCTGCACCACAGTTCTAGTGATTGAGGACATAATCATGGTGAGTGGCCACCTCTCTCAAAAAAGAAGAAAGTCCCTTTGAATTATTGTGGGTTTTTTAAGCCTCTACAAACAGTCAATTTCAAGAGGTTTGCCTCCACTAAACATTTTTTTGAAGTTGGGAATAATATATCTACTCAGAATCTTGATCTGAGTTTGTAAGCAGCTACAACAGAACTTCAGAATGCCCATCTCCACTTTTTTATGGTTGGAAATACTTTTGCCAAGAACCTGAAGTACTAATACTTCATTTAAATATTAAAGTAGAGAGTTCTGTTTATGTAAATAGACATTGGAATGCCATTCTTCAATTAAGTTTCCTATTACAGTTGTGTTATAGTATGGTTTGTGTAGAAGAGTGGTAACTTCAAATCATTTGGGCAAGTCCTGAAATATTTTATATATTGCAAATGAAGCCTCCTCGAATCTTATATTATTTGAGGTCTTAATCTCTTATGCAATAAAAAGTTTATAAAAGTAGTGTTCTAAAAATTGAGTTTTATTGAAGAAAAAATATTTAGTGGTTTTATTGGCTTAGAAATACTTTTGGTCAAACTCATGGAAAAATCATATTTCAAGTACTATTGTATTCGAAAACAAAACAAAGGGTTAACAATTTTTTGAAAGATTAAATATTGATATTTCATATACACATATACACATAAGCTTTAAGAAACATATTCTGAAAGTCAACTTTACAAAACCTATCTTCTTCATTGTCCAGAAAGTATTGTATTTTGGCACCTCTGTGCTTTAATTTAGTTCCTTGTTTTGCTTTGTTTCCTTTTATAAAGGACTCTACATCGACTGATGATATGTGGTAAAACTGCTCATCTAGCCATGGAGTTTATCTTCACCTCCAAAGGAGAGTACAGCTCAACTTCATTGAACCTTTTAACATTCATCCTCATCTTTAAAGAAGGGCATATGACATGGGTGAGAGTGATTACACCAGAGAACTTCAGCAGTACAACAGCTAGCCCAGAACTGATTTTCTTTTTTTGTAAATTTGAGACTTATGTAAACGTGATTTTAAATCATAATTCATGTTGTAAATCAGACTCCAGCAATTTTTGTTGTATGATTTTGTTTTTTGTAAAGTGTAACTGTCCTTGTACAAAATGCTCATATTTAATTATGAACTGCTTTAAATCATTATCAAAGTTATAAGAAATGTTTGGCTTGTTGTGTGACGCAACAGATATATAGATCTTTCAAGTCATGTTGTGTTTGGACTTGGGGTTGGGACAGAGAGAGCAGCAGCCATGTCAGCTAGACGCTCAACTGTGCACATGATTATGGAGAAAAATTCCAAAATCTTATAAAGCCGAGCATCCAGGGAGTTAATTAGAAACTATCTTAATGTTCTTGGCAGTGGGGTTGGCATTGTTGATAAAGCTGGTCCCTTCACTTAATTGTCTCTAAGTTGTTCTCTACTTGTTGCCATGAGTATTGCAGGTTATACAGTATATTCATAAGAATATCAGTCTTGGGGCTAAAATGCCTTGATTCTTTGCACCTCTTTTACAAGTCCTTACATTTAATTATTAATTGATAAGCAGCAGCTTCCTACAGATAGTAGGAGACTGCCACATTTTGCTGTCATGATTGGCTGGGCCTGCTGCTGTTCCTAGTAAGATATTCTGAATTCCATTTTATCAATAAAGCTTGATTTAACGAACAAGAAATTTAATCATGTATGTGTAATTCCTCCTTTACCTTGCCCTTTTAAAACACCATGCCATTGTAAATGAGAAGTTTCTATGGGAAAAGATGTTAGTCTCTTTTAATTGGAACATCCTGTTACTCAAGGCATAGAGGGAACTGTTTCTTTTCCATTAGCAAGACTAAAAGATTTAAGTCTCTGTTGTTCCTTAATCTATTTTTTAAATGGGTTTCTTTCTGGCTGCTTATTTTTCATTAAGATATGTATCAGCTCGAATTTGCCTACTGTTTAATTAAAATAATTGTCAGAGCTTGACAATCTAACATTCTGTGGTAGGTGTGTGTGTTTGTGAGTGTGTTTGCCTGTGATTTTTAATTGGCCCATGTCTTTAGAATCCAAGTAGTTAAGATGTATTTGTGATTTGAAATATAGCATGTTGATAATATTTAGCTGTTGGCCTTTAAAAATAAGTCAAAGTTTAAAGAACTGTAGATATAAAAAAAAACTAATTTAATTTAGGCTTAAATTCCTCTGATTAAGCATGTGAAAGTAAGTTTTAAAATCTGTCACATTGAAAAGACTACTGTTCTGTGCCCTTCTGTATTTTTTGTCTCTTTAGGTTGAATATTGTATTTATACCATGTAATTTAATCATTCAGTAGGCAGATTCCCCACTAGAAAAATATTAAAATACATTTGAATACAAGGTCAAAACTTTGTGTATAAAAGGTAATATAACTAGTTTCCTTTTGTTTTTACATAATTTGAAAATATACATATTTGTATATATAGCCTTAAAACTAATCTAAAGGTAGGGGAATAGTGGGAAAAGTGATGTGAAATGTCTCAGATTTAAGTAGTTACATACCAACAAAATCTTTTCATTATCCCTCTTATTCATGAGGTGATTAAATGTAACTTAACTGTATTTAATTTATATTTTAATCTAGCATGAATTAAGAAAAACAAGTACTATTTATATTTAGAAATTCATAACAATTGGAATTACAGAACCAATTCCATACTTAACTTACAAATAAATGCTTAATGTCTAAAATCTGTGGTAAAGTGCGAAGTATGATAATGTTTTAAGTTATGGCTTTGCAAGCATCTAAATGTGCATTTTATGAATAGCAGTGCTTGTAGTATAGATTGATTACCAGACATACTGGTACTGAAAACTAAATCCCTATTTCAAGAAGCCAGGTCCTTAATTTTTTTAAGTAGACTCAGTTTTTAGTTCTGGAAACTTCAATTAGTTTTTGAAATGAAAAATCTTAAATCACAAGTAAGATATATGATAGAAAGCTATATTTTAAACCATAACAGCATATGTAGAGCCTTTTTAAATTTAAGGATCTTTAAATGAAAAAAATCAAAATATTCCTCTGTTAAAGTTACTAGTACTGAAATTAGGCTTGGAAGTGAGAGAAAACTGTATGAAGCGTGATCTGAGAAAACTAAATCTTTTCTACATGAGTCAGCATTGCCATATTAGGTATAGTTTTTCATTATTAAAATACAGGAAGAAAATATACATTGTAACAGCAAACTGTGTTCTTCATTCCTGGGGGTAATGGTGGTTGTAGGGAACCAACCACACTTTTAAAAGGCACTTTTGCACCTCTGTTGTGCACTTCATTTTTGTACCACTTAAATTCTTGACCTCCCGCCCCCTTTTGTGTGCTAATTAATTAGCATCTCAGGGCAATGCCTCAAAATTTGTTTGATGTGTTGTATGTTATTTTCTTTGGAGGGAAAAAGTTCATGTGTGATGATAATATACTATTCAACATGTGTTTTCGCTTAAATGTTTTAATAGGATGAACCCACTTTGCTGCTTTTAGTGGGAGATTCATTTTGTATAGCAGACTCTTGTTACCCTAACATTAAAGAATTTCACTGATCTCTTATTGTTTTAGCAAGGTAAACTCTTAATTTCTACTTTCTTAGGGAATATACTTTTACAGATAACAAAAGCAGGTCTTAATATTAGTGTTAACTTTTGAAAATCCTAGAGGTATTTTTCTTACCCAGCTTTAGAACTATTTGAAACATATTTTTAATTATAAAGCATTAACTTGCTTCTAGAGTACTATGCAATGAGTGTACTGCTTCGCCGCTAATTTTTTTAAAAAAACTAACTTAATAACCAATTTGGGTCAAAGAATAAATCAAGTATGTAATTCAGATGCTCTGAATTATAGCAGTACTTTTAGTGATCATCTATTGACCAATTAATAACTCAGCTTTTCGACAAAATGTTTTGAGTAGTTATCTGCAAAATACTGTGCTAGACAAAACATCTTGTACTATAAAGAAATGAATAAATAGGTCCTTGCCCTCAAGGAGTTTACATTTGAGTAGAATTTACAACCTAATATATGTTAATAAAACTGGGTCACTCATCCAAAAAAATAGTTAATGTCCACCTACTGTCTGCCAGATAATTTCCTGAACACACAGGTCTCTACCCTAAGCAGCTGATTTGTACTTCCTTTATTCACTTAAAAATCTGTTTATTTTCTCCACAAAGTTAAAAATCTCATTCAAAAGAAAATTTTGCTCAGCATAGGAATAAGGTTGGACTGATGAAGCTCAAGTCTATTCAGTATGCTTGACTGCCTTGAACAGATAGCCTTTACTCTCCTGCTGAGAGCAGCAAGTCAGAGAAAAGGGTAATGGATTTCATAGCACTCTGCAATCCTGGAAATTTTGGTGGATTTTGAAATTTTAGCTAAAATATATATATTTAGCTAAATTTATCTTATTTAAGTAAAACACTGTTCTTTACTTGAAAACATATTGCCAGTGCTAATATCTAATTTTAGTTAAATGATTACTATGTGTTTTAATTTTTAAAAATAACTTCACTGCCTATTTTTATTGGACAAATTCATATGGGAATTCAGTTTGTGATTTCTGAAAGAAATGATTAAATTGGTTAAGGGTTTTCTCTTTTGTTTTAATTTTGAATTTCATGATGTATATGCTTTTAATTCATAAAGTTTGAGTGAAAGGTTTAAGCCTTTTAATGTTTTAGTTGCTATTTGTACAGTTTTATGTTAGGATTTGGTATTAGAAAATACTCTGTAAATATTTCAGGATATAAATGTCACTCATTTGAGGTCTAAGGAACTTTAAAGAGTTTCATATACTTTTGCTTGCAGATCCTGCTGGTGAGGTGACCATTTTTTAATTGAGTCATCTAGTCTTTTCATTAGTAAGGGTTTTCTTGTGGGTTTGTTTGTTTGTTTTTAGGATTTAGGAAGACTTCTTTATAGCTTAAAATTTTAGAAGCCTTATTTTACTTTATTGCTTTCAATAATGTGTCATGAGTTTTGAATTGTATTTGTTTTAAATTAAACATTACTTCAGAATATGCTTGAAATATTTAAGAATACATTTTCTAAATGTTATGATTATAATACTTCATTGTTTAATGAGAATAATGTGTCAGTTAAGTGTTATTACTGATAGAATGCTCTATGCAGAAATGATGAGAAGCATTAGCCTCCACTTCATTGTCAAATGAACATTTCTACTTTTATTCACCTCAACACAGATTATTTCTCTTTTACATGCTTTATATATTAAACTCGTGGCTTCTGATCTCATCTTTTTCTAATTATATTACCAGCAGTTAGGAGTGTGCCAATTAGAAAAATTCAACTGTATTGAAGTTGTAGTTGGAAACTTATACTTTTAATTAATTGGGGGGGGGTGTTTAAATTGATATAATAACAAAGAGATTTTTTTCCCCCACTTATTCTGTATCAAATGTTGCTTCATTTCCTGTACTAGCCTCTTGGTGTTTTCTCTCTTTTTTCAGATGGAAACTGGCCAATTCCTTTTTTTAAGCAAGAAAACTTAATGTATTACCTCACCAAAGCCAACAAATAGTATATAAAACGGCCAAAATTAAGAAAACTTGGGAGGTGGAGGAGTGGGGATATGCCAGTGAGGATAAAGAGGAGAATTAATTATTTTTAAAGTCATAGGAAGGTCTTTCTTGGACCCAGCTATATATTAAAAACTGTTGCATTACGTAAACCTGCAAGAACCAACTTTGCTTCTTCAGATAATATGATTTTTCCACCAAGGGAAATAATGATAAAAAAAACTACTGCTCCTTCAACATAGAAACTACTGAGAAAAATGAATGCAATGTTTCTTCACCACAAAACCCAACCTTCAGTTCTTTTCATTGCTCCAAACCCAGTATTTTACTAATAGCTTTGTCATTGAACTAAATGTTTAGAAAAATTTAGTTTTTCCTTTCTTTTTACATAGTTCTCTTGACCCATTAAAAGACATTTACTAACGTTTGCATTTGTATGGTACTATCTGAAGTTAGATTTTGTAGGAGATTGGGTAATGATTAGGTTTAGGTATAAGCATAAATTCACTATAGCAATTGTTCTTAATCTTTTAGGGTTATAGGCCCTTTGAGACTGGTGAATCCTAGGGACTTCCTTACATAACTCCACAAAGTATACAATATTGCGTGGTTTAGGGACCCCTGCTTAAGATCCCATATAATAGCACAATAGGGCATCAGCTTTTTTCCTACAAAGCCATAAGAAATACTTCAAGGGCATCAAAATAATTGGACTCTTAAGGAATTGTTCCACTTTTTGAAAAATAGAGGAGGTAGAAGTGGGCCTACCCTGGAATCTGACATTAAAATATGCTTTTTAAAGGTTGTGTTTTGAGGAAATGGAGAGTAATTAAAGGTGAAAAACTAGTATGAGGATAGTTTCAGAGGATAACATTATTCTCTGATTTTGCCACTTTCGAAAGTCAACAGGAAAGAGTTAAAACAGAAATTGAGTGTTTCTGGAAAGTTTCCGACCTTCATGGTGCAGATGTAATATATTTACAACCAACATATTTAAGTCAGATCTCACTCAGATTTTGAGCTTCCTGGTGTTAGAGTTCATTAAATGTTTAATTCACTTCAGATTCCAAAGAATTATATATCTACTTACTGATACAGAATGTTAACATGCAGCCACCAATATACAGGATTAATGTGATTTCTACTAAAATATAACTACCATGAAAAAATTCATTAGCTTGTAGCATTTGTTGCCAAAATTGGATGTTTAGTTATAGCTTATTTACTTCCCATTTATGGGACTTTTAAAGCAAAAACCACTCATTGTCTATGTTGTTGACTAACTTAGGAAAATAACTTGTCTGTAGTAATATGTCCTTTTCTGCTTAGTTTCACTCTTGAAATGATTTCTCCTAATTTGTATAAATGTTATGGGTGGAGAGACCATATACATATTAGAAGCATGTTGTATAATATATAGATTTTTTAAATCTGTAAGTGTAAAAAAACTAATACAACTGCAGAAATATTTTTCCTAAATACAGTGTATAACAAAATTCTCTACAGTAACTCACCCACTCTTTACAGTTTTTGTGATCCAAACTTTTGAAGAAATTTCATAAATGTATATTTTGTATTATGTACCAATTCCTGTTCCAAGGAAAAGAAGTGAATTCAGTTCTAACTTTAAGAATGTACTTTTTGTTTTCAAGTCTGTTGGAGAAATTTCATTCAGCCTTTGAATGGTTGCAAATTATATGTGAGATGAAAAGTAGAAATAATCTCTAGTTTGCAAAACTGGTGCCACTAAGTAAACAGGCAATTGCATAATGTGTGAGTATTTATGATTGATATTAAAAGCAGCATTTTTGTTCTGGCTAGAAAAGAAACCTGGACTTTTTAAAACATATATTTTTATTGATTTCAGAGAGGAAGGTAGAGGGAGAGAGAGACAGAAATATCAGTGATGATAAAGAATCACTGATTGGCTGCTTCCTGCATGTCCCCCACTGGAGACCGAGCCTGCAACCCGGGCATGTGCCCTTGACCAGAATCAAACCTGGGACCCTTTAGTCTGCAGGCCAACACTCTATCCACAGCCAAACTGGCTAGGGCTGGAAATTTTTAATTAGTTATTAGGAGACCTTAAGAAATTTTTTAAAAATTGAAATTGGTTAATTTGCTATAAAACAATGGATCTGATAGTAACTGTTTGAACTACACCTATTTCTTCTTGATTTAAGGAAGAATACTGAAAGTCAGTAACTTTGGATTGATGGTTATTTGCAATGAACACATTCCAGAAATAAAGAAGCCAAAGTTACTTCCTTTGGCAAGATCATTCCCGTTGTCTTCTTACAGATGATATATATATATTTCTTATTCCCTTGAAGAGTTGAGATTGGGAATTAGGAGTAGAACTTCCCCATATAGTATCTCTGGTGTAAACTTTGACTTAGATTGCAGCCCGCTTCGTGGTAGACATGCGTGTGTGTGTGTGTGTGTGTGTGTGTGTGTGTGTGTGTGTGTGTGTGTGTTTTAGGATGCTTACTTCCTCTACTGATTATGTTAAGTGGTTGTATTACCTGTGTTTTTTCTTGTCTAAAAGTGTGACTTAGAGGCTTACACAATTAAATTAGAGGGACTTTAGAGTAAGTTGAATTAGTGATGTAAGTGAACTTCAATGACTGCAAGAACTTATTTTGTTCGTTGTAAAATTTTTAATGAAAGCACAATAATGAGGCCTCCTAACCAAAGTAAGATTGCAGCAAATAAGGATTTACTTAGCTATATGTAGCTAATACCTGTTCACTTGCCAAGGTGTATCCTTTTGTTTTAGTTTTTCATTTGAAAGTTGAAGCTAGGTTTATTTGTTTTTAGTAAAACATTTATTTCAGTTATTTCCCCCCCCCCCCCATACTTGATTACTTCACTGAGAAACTAATATTGGGGTACTCATCTTTTTCTTTTTCCCTTTTTACTGCTATTAGCTCATACTGAAATTTTCATCAAATCACAGAAATTTCTGTTCCAGTTAAAAAGTCTGTTTGTAGATTAATTACCCCAGAAAACCTTGGCTTGCGTGCCCTCCATAGGACTTTTGTTTACTTGCCACAAAACATGTGCTATGCTACTGCTTGTTGTGTACATGAGAGTTATATTTATTTGTCCTGATACCTTATTAAAATGATTCAGAGTTTCTAAAAAGCTTTTTATTAGTTCATGTGTTTCATGTTAATAGCTGTATTGTTACCTAAATAGTGGATTTACTAAGCACACCATGTGTGTCATCTATTCTCTGCTATATTTTAGGTCCAGGCTTGGGTCTTCAGACCAAAGCACTTTCCCTATAACTTTCCTGGTAACTACCCAAAATATTTTCCAGGTGTTAATTCAAGCCAATGAAATTTCCAATATTTGACCATCTACCAAAATGGCAGGGTTTTTTAAAAAATATATTTTATTGATTTTTTTACAGAGGAAGGGAGAGGGAGAGGGAGAGAGTTAGAAACATTGATGAGAAACATCGATCAGCTGCCTCCTGCACACCTCCTACTGGGGATGTGCCCACAACCAAGGTACATGCCCTTAACCAGAATTGAACCTGGGACCTTTCAGTCTGCAGGCCAACGCTCTATCCACTGAGCCAAACTGGTTAGGGCCAAAATGGCAGTTTTATTTGGATCAATTTACCAGTTTCTGAAATTAGTTCTTGAATGGCCAGATTACAAGTCAGTACTTCTCATTTATATTTCAATTTAATCATGTCTCCTTAGAATTGATCCTGAAGGGGAAAATAAGACATTGGGGGGGCGGGGGGGGGGGTAGCTATCTGAATCTGTGCCAGTAACCTGCATTCTGACACACACTCTTACTTGCCAATAAACACCATTCTTATCTGTGATGCCTGTCCTGCATTGCCAGAACCTGTTTCCCGGAATACTCCCATTTTACAGAGATCATAAACTATGAACCAAATACAACCCCCTGTGGGGGTTGGCAGCACTGGCGCCAGACAGGCCTCTGAGTATAATCTCACTTCCCCCATCCCAACTCACGGCGGGCTGCAAAGCCCATGAAAAGTCCGGAAGCCTGATCTATATTTGGAGGACAAAGAAACTAAAGGGGGAAAGCTTCGTCCATATTCATCACTCAGGATTTGGAAACGGACTCCCCTGAGTCACGGCACTAGTGCATCTGCAAATAAAGGCTACTTTTCTGAATATCCGCTGAGTGCCGGCTGATTAATTCTCCCGCGCCGCCTGGCAGCTTATCTGCAACAATCCTTAGAACTAGGTAGATAACAGGTTTAAAGAAAAGCCATATATATTTGAACAAATTTGCAAATACGAAGTTTGCTAAAATAGACAATATCAAATATATCATTTATTTTAAATTACTAATTTATTGTCCAATTTTTCATAGATGTTCAACTTCTGCGCAGACATTGGTATGAGAAATGTTACATCAGCAGTAACCTGGAAAGAAAATAATACTGAATTTAGTGTTCAGGCAGGCTTATAATAAAACAAAGATAAG